ATAAGTTCAAACATCCATTCAATATCTATTATTTCCTGAATATTACTGATGAACTGATCAAAAAGTAGGCTACTGTTCACATGCGTTTTACTACTATATAGTATAGTAATATAGTAATAATTTAGTACTTTCTCCTGTTTTATTGTTGGTTTCCTCTATTCTGATCATTTGGAATGAGGATAAAAAGACCAAAAAAACAAACAAAAAACATGCAAATAAACATGCATCAATTTGATCTACTATTTCCTGAATATTATGAAATTCAAGATAGCCGCCCCTGATGACGTCATAATATGCAAATTAGATGAGTATATTTACACCCAACATAAACTTTCAGTCATGCCCAATATTTTTTCTAATTTACAGTAGATCTCTATCTTTAAGCCCTTTCAAGCCACAAGCTTTTGAAATCTTGATGTCAAAATCCAGCATTTTTCCAAAAATCCCTGGCGCCTAAAGGGGTGTGTTTTGGACATAACGTGCAATAAACCAATCAGAGTCTCATCTCCCATTCCCTTTAAGAGCCAGTTGCGCTAGTGCCATGGCGGATTTGCTATTTACACGGTGGAATTTGCAAGCGCAAAGACAGAACGCGTCTCCAGAGAGGAAACGGAGCTGCTCGTTCATGAGCAAATAGGTAGCCTAATTCTGATGCATGCAATGACTATCCATTATGACATGTAGGCATTTTTATATTAATGTAGCCTACACAATGATAATCTTTTACATTGTAATCCTTTACATTTTTAATATTTGGCATGCTTGTGTGCTGCTGTGCATCCCTGTGTGTGTAATAAGTAGATTGTACGTGCGCTGTGGACCCACCTATACTAACGCGCTCTTTAAATAACAAACAAAAAAAAAAAACCTACTGCGCCATTGACTTTAGACCAGGTTTTAGTTAGGCAGTCTATTTTAGTTGCCTCAAAATAGCAACGCGACAACAATGCTCCTGAACACACCTCGTTTTCAGACCAGCATGCCCATGAGCGCACAAATGGGCACAGATGCATTTACTATTTAAACAACGTGGTGCAGGACGTGAAAATGATTACTGCGTCAGGCTGAAACTAGCAAAAAACACTTGTGTCTCGCCTGGCGCCGCATTGCGTCGGGTGTATGATAGGTCCCAAAGTCTTTCAGATAAAGTCTGCCTTTTGTTAATGGCTTTTAAAATCAATTTTAAAATGTCCAAAATGTTTATTTTTTGTTGATTATACAAGCTTTTCTTTTTTAATTATAGGTAACAAAAAGTGCAAGATTAAAAGATATATAAGCACACAAAGATCACCGATGAGGAGTAAATGGATCTATGTGGCTATCCTGGGGATAGCATGCATGATGCTTGGAGTCAATGGGAACAATACAACAAGCAGTAGCAACTCTACAGGCAGCTGGATATCTATCTCTATCTTTAAGCCCTTTCAAGCCACAAGCTTTTGAAATCTTGATGTCAAAATCCAGCATTTTTCCAAAAATCCCTGGCGCCTCAAGGGGTGTGTTTTGGACATAACGTGCAATAAACCAATCAGAGTCTCATCTCCCATTCCCTTTAAGAGCCAGTTGCGCTAGTGCCATGGCGGATTTGCTATTTACACGGTGGAATTTGCAAGCGCAAAGACAGAACGCGTCTCCAGAGAGGAAACGGAGCTGCTCGTTCATGAGCAAATAGGTAGCCTAATTCTGATGCATGCAATGACTATCCATTATGACATGTAGGCATTTTTATATTAATGTAGCCTACACAATGATAATCTTTTACATTGTAATCCTTTACATTTTTAATATTTGGCATGCTTGTGTGCTGCTGTGCATCCCTGTGTGTGTAATAAGTAGATTGTACGTGCGCTGTGGACCCACCTATACTAACGCGCTCTTTAAATAACAAACAAAAAAAAAAAACCTACTGCGCCATTGACTTTAGACCAGGTTTTAGTTAGGCAGTCTATTTTAGTTGCCTCAAAATAGCAACGCGACAACAATGCTCCTGAACACACCTCGTTTTCAGACCAGCATGCCCATGAGCGCACAAATGGGCACAGATGCATTTACTATTTAAACAACGTGGTGCAGGACGTGAAAATGATTACTGCGTCAGGCTGAAACTAGCAAAAAACACTTGTGTCTCGCCTGGCGCCGCATTGCGTCGGGTGTATGATAGGTCCCAAAGTCTTTCAGATAAAGTCTGCCTTTTGTTAATGGCTTTTAAAATCAATTTTAAAATGTCCAAAATGTTTATTTTTTGTTGATTATACAAGCTTTTCTTTTTTAATTATAGGTAACAAAAAGTGCAAGATTAAAAGATATATAAGCACACAAAGATCACCGATGAGGAGTAAATGGATCTATGTGGCTATCCTGGGGATAGCATGCATGATGCTTGGAGTCAATGGGAACAATACAACAAGCAGTAGCAACTCTACAGGCAGCTGGATATCTTCTAACATGACCACCAACCTGACCCAGACTCTACCACCCAACATGACCACCAACCTGACCCAGACGCACCCACCCAGCATGACCACCAACCTAAACCAGGTCGGTCCCTTCAACATAACCACAAACTTGACTCAAACAGGACCTCCCAACATAACCCCGAACCTTACCCAGACGGGCCCTCTTAACATGACCACAAACCCGAACCAGATCAGCCATTTTAACATGACCACAAACCCGATTCAGATAGGACCTCTCAACATGACCACAAACCCAACCCAGATGGGTCCTCTCAACATGACCACCAGCCTTACCCAGACAGACCCTCTTAATATTACTACAAACCCATCCCAGATGGGCCCTCTCAACATGACCGCAAACCCGAACCAAATGAGCCCTTTTAACATGACCACAAACCCAACCCAGATGGGCCCTCTCAACATGACCACAAACCCAAACCAAATGAGCCCTTTTAACATGACCACAAACCCAACCCAGATGGGCCCTCTCAACATGACCACCAACCTGACCACAAACCCGACCCAGATGGGCCCTCTCAACATGACCACCAACCTGACCCAAACACGCCCTCCCAACATGACCACAAACCATAGCCAGATGGGCCTTCTCAACATGACCACAGCTCCAAATCAGATGGTAACTTTTAATATGACCACAAACCCAACCCAGTTGGGCCCTCTTAACATGACCACCAACCTGACCCCCAACCTGACCGAAACACACCCTCCCAACATAACTGCTAACCTGCCCCAAACACACCCTGCCAACATCACAAACTTGACCCAGACACGGCCTCCCAATATTACCACAAACCCGACCCAGACAGGCCCACTCACTGTATCAAACATTAGAACAACACCCTCCCAACATAACCACCACCCTGCCCCAAACACCCCCTCCCAACATAACCGCTAACCTGCCCCAAACACACCCTCCCAACATAACTGCCAACCTGACTCAAACACGCACTCCCAACATAACTGTCAACCTGCCCCAAACACACCCTTCCAACATCACAAACTTGACACAGACACGGCCTCCCAATATTACCACAAACCCGACCCATACAGGCCCACTCACTGTAACAAACATTAGAACAACATCAGGCTCTAATACTCAGTCACCAGTAAGTCAAACTTTTTTTCCTGTTTAAAAATGCAAGTAGCAATCTTGACAGTTAAACCGCAAGTTATTTTTTATTGCAGGACATCACTGGCAGGGATAACTGCAGGAGGGATAGGGCATGTTTCTCCGCTCCACCTACCTGTAATCCAGGTGCAGAGGGTTCCTGCTATTTTCTCTCCACAAGAGGAGTAAGCGGAAATGCAGATAATTTTACTTTTGAGCTCAGTGGCGAGACAGATGGTTACATTGGAGCTGGCCTCTCTCGAGACAGCAGTGTAAGAATCCAGTTGCTTTTTTATCAGATATTTATTTTAGAGATTAAGATTAAAGTGCTTAAATATTAAACATTACATTCAATAAAATAAAATAATAGTATCTGGTTGTCTGACTAATCTATTTTTAATCTACTTTTCTCGTCCATAGGGTCAAGGTGCCACCGTCTATTCTTGCGCCAAATTCAATGGTGCACTCAGGTTAATTCGTTCCACACTGAACAATCAAATACTGACGCAGGATAATATAGTAAGGCCCTTTTTCAGAGACCATTAATGCATACAATCTGATTAAAATATAATAGCTTTGACTGCCACATCCTCTAGCTAGTGACCTGTAACACCCAGCAATAACACAATCAAATGCCTGTAGTTATTTACTGCTGTAGACAAATTGTGGCCCACTCAAGCTTTAGTTCTGTGATATTTGAAGGCTTTTAAGCATGAGCTGTGCATTTTAAGTCATTTTAATGCCAGAGCATTTCAATAGTGTTTAAGTACTGCACTGCATTGACTAGCCAAAACTTACAGTACATTTTCTTGATTTTCAGCCATTCTGAGCAAAGCTTGCTTGTATGTTTCAGATAATTTTTTGTGTCAGCAATCACAAAGATTTTCCAACAGCACTGTATATGCATTCTCAGAAGCAGTTTATGTGCCATCTTAGCAGTGTAATATTAAGTAATATTACTTCTGTTTTGCTGCAGTTCATCCCTGGAAGCTTCCGTGGCTCAGCGATTGGTAGAAAGATTCAATGCATTTTTAATGCTGCAGGTCTCAGCAGCACCACCCGTTCTGCAACCACAGGCACTTTTGTCTTCCTTGTAACAGGCAGCATATCAAATGGTCAGTGCAACACTTTGATCAAGTAACTGACATATATTTTGTTGTGAAACAGAAGTAAACCATTGTCTTCCCTCTACTCATTCTTCCAGGTTCTCTGGATTCTCCAGTCAGTAGACTGACCACAAATGGGTCAGTGGACTTAAGCAACCCTAACAGCACAGACGTTTCAGTAATAACACCTAGTACAAATGCCACTGCATCTAATACCACAGCAACATCAACCACCACTGCGGCTTCTACGAACTTGACCCAGACGCATCCTCCTAACATGACCACCAACGTGACCCAAATGGGTCACCTCAACATGACCACCAACCTGACCCAGACACACCCTCCCAACATAACCACCAACCTGACCCAAACACACCCTCCCAACATAACCGCTAACCTGGCCCAGACACGCCCTCCCAACATAACTGCCAACCAGACCCAGACAAGCCCTCCCAACATAACTGCTAACCTGCCCCAAACACACCCTGCCAACATCACAAACTTGACCCAGACACGGCCTCCCAATATTACCACAAACCCGACCCAGACAGGCCCACTCACTGTATCAAACATTAGAACAACATCAGGCTCTAATACTCAGTCACCAGTAAGTCAAACTTTTTTATCCTGTTTAAAAATGCAAGTAGCAATCTTGACAGTTAAACCGCAAGTTATTTTTTATTGCAGGACATCACTGGCAGGGATAACTGCAGGAGGGATAGGGCATGTTTCTCCGCTCCACCTACCTGTAATCCAGGTGCAGAGGGTTCCTGCTATTTTCTCTCCACAAGAGGAGTAAGCGGAAATGCAGATAATTTTACTTTTGAGCTCAGTGGCGAGACAGATGGTTACATTGGAGCTGGCCTCTCTCGAGACAGCAGTGTAAGATATCAAATCCAGTTGCTTTTTTATCCGACATTTATTTTAGAGATTAAGATTAAAGTGCTTAAGTATTAAACATTACATTCAATTAAATAAAATAATGGTATCTGGTTGTCTGACTAATCTATTTTTAATCTACTTTTCTTGTCCATAGGGTCAAGGTGCCACTGTCTATTCTTGCGCCAAATTCAATGATGCACTGAGGTTAATTCGTTCCACACTGAACAATCAAATACTGACTCAGGATAATATAGTAAGGCCCTTTTTCAGAGACCATTAATGCATACAATCTGATTAAAATATAATAGCTTTGACTACCACATCCTCTAGCTCAGTGTTTCCCAACCGGGGTGCGCCGCGGCACCCTGGGGTGCCGTCTGTCGAGAGCAGGGGTGCCGTGTAAAAAAATCCTTTTTTAATATTTTTAAATTGCTAAAATGTTCAAAAAAGCATCTATTATATAATATCCATTTCTGATGTCGCCAATAATTAGAGATGCACCGAAATTTCGGCTGCCGAAAATTAGTTCACCGCTCAGGTTTCACTTTCACGTAGTGTGACGCTCCGCGTATTATCCCGCTCTATGCATGTGCGCTCCGCTCAGTCGCTCCACTCGTATACCGTTCATGCGAATCGGAACAGCAAAGTCCACTCAAAAACTGAGCCAACAGGAAACATCGATGAAGTGCAGTATTGTTTCGGTCTGCAATAGCCCTACTGTGTTGTAACATGATGTGGTATATGGGCAACTCTGCTAACGCTGCCCTCTCATTCATTGATCTGCTAACCGCAATGCTCGCGTGTTCTGATAATAATAGCTTTCTAGGACTAAACA